AGCAGGCAGCCTCTCCAAGATACTCAGATGGGCTCCCCTCATGCAGAGACTGATGGCTGTTCTGGGCTCCCTAGACAGAGTGAGATTTGCAGTGAGGACTCACAAGGCCCCCAAGTTCCTCTTTCTCCTTCTTCCTCTACTCTTCACCTTCTCCCAACCTCTCCTCTATGTCCGGGCCTGCCACCTCCTAGGTGGCAGCTGCCTATGATGGGGACGAGTTTGGAGAACAAACCCTGGGTCCCAAGTAACTGCCTCCTCTCACAGCACATCTCATTCCTCAAATCATAGCAGGGATATTACTACTTCAAAGAACCCCTGCTACTATGCACATTCCTGAAGCCGTTCATTTTTAACACGCAGATACAAATTAACTTTGCTGAGAGCAGAAGCAGCAGCAGAAAAAGCTCAGGGAGGGGGTCTGGTGACAGCTACTGACGCAGGGAGTGGGCTGCTGGGATGTGAGGGAGAGGACTGACGAGGGGGTGAGAGGGAAGAGTGGCCAGTGAAGACCAGGCGCTTCTCACGATCAGCCATGCACATGTCAGATCTGTAGGCAGAGCTGCCAGGTTCTGCTCTCTCCAGGACAGAGCCTCATGACGTGGGCTTAAACACATCAGCAGAATGATTAATTCTGGACCCCCTTGCTCAAGAGTCAGAAAACCCCAGATGTGACTTCCAGCTCTCCCACTAGCATACAGAAACCAAGGGGATCAAGGTCCCCTGACCTCCAACAGTCCTCCAGTGCTATTCTGCTGGATCTAAATAGCCAAGAATGAAAGACCTGATGAGCAAGGTTTGTGAGCATCAGCTGGCAAGGTCACAGTCACTGCTTCCACTAGCAGGGGAGTGGTAGAGGTTCCTCTCAGTTACCACAGAGAAGTTTAACAAGTAAAACCTGCAAACTCTTTATTAAATTCTCCCATTTCATCTGTACAGAAAAAAATGCACATTATGTTCAGAACATATCTCAGTAACATCTCAAAATTACACAGCATGAACATGTAAAAACAAGGGACCGCCAGGATTTTATACATAGAAAGGAAACCCATTTACAAAAGAGGCTTGTTAATTGTACTTTTTTTCTTTCTTTCAAAAAAAAAAAAAAAAAAAAAGTGAAAGGCCTAAGATCTCACAGCATTTGCTGTACAGTCTGTTTTCCAGCTGGACTGGCTTGGGAACACTGTGCTGGGGGAAGCTACCAGGGAAGATCTCCCGCTGCCGGCTCTCCTGGGGCCTCCACCCAGCACACCACAGGGGGACCTGGAGGCAGTTTACATCACCCTAGCATGTCTGACAGAAGGCCCTGCTGGGCTCTGGGGTCCAGATGTCAACTCTACGTTGGGGAAAGGCAAAATGCAACCTAGAGGCACTGTCTGAACTTTGTCCTGGCCCAGGGAGATTTCTCCACTGCACACAGCACAGCCTCCTACATGTGTGTCGTGCTACAGCAGAGAGGGAGAGGACCACCCGTTAGGATCCTGTCACCACCAGCCTGAGGAGACAGCCCCATCTTCGTGATCCAGGTGACAAACAGTCCCTGGGTCCCCACAATGATCTCACCAGATGGCTTTGGGGAGCTCTTTACTCTGAAGATTCAGTCTGGTTTGCTAATAACTTACCTATTATTTGAAGTCTGCGGAGAAAGGACCAAGAGCGGGTACAGTTAGAAGGATGAACAAGCAAAGACCAATGGATGGGAAGGCAGGCAGGAGCCTTAGACCTGGCCCCAGGCCTTCTGGGAACCAAAGCCTAGTGGACAGAAGGTGAGTGGGGAGGAAGCAAGTGTCCCTCAAGGCTCCAGAGAGACCCACAGCACCAATGGCTGTATTTTGCAAAACCGCTCAGGCGCTACCCAAATGATGAGAAATAAAAGCATTGTGATCTTTCAGGTTTTCCAAACTCACAAGACACTGACATACGATATACCGAAATGCACATAACTGAGGCCCAGGTGGGTGGATCACATCTGGTTAGGAGTTTGAAACCAGCGTGGCCACATGGTGAAACCCCATCTCTACAAAAATACAAAAAAATTAGCCTGGCATGGTGGTGCATACCTGTGAGCTTAGCTACCTGGGAGGCTGAGGCAGGAAAATCACTTGAACCTGGGAGGCAGAGGTTGCAGTGACCTGAGATTGCGCCTCTGCACTCCAGCTTGGGTAAGAAGAGTGAAACTTTGCAAAAAAAAAAAAAAAAAAAAAGCTGAGCTCGGTGGCTGATGCCTGTAATTCCAGCACTTTAGGAGGCCAAGGTGAGTGGATCACAAGGTCAGGAGATCGAGACCATCCTGGCCAACATGGTGACACCCCGTCTCTACTAAAAATACAAAAATTAGCTGGACGTGGAGACACATGCCTGTAATTCTAGCTACTCTGGCGACTGAGGCAGGAAAATCACTTGAACCCGGGAGGCGGAGGTTGCAGTGAACTGAAATTGCACCACTGCACTCTAGCCTGGAGACAGAACAAAAACGCCATCTCAAAAAAACAAACAAACAAAAAACAATCCATATTCTTCTTCTGCTTTTATAGCCAAAATTTAGGCTGACTGTGGCTGACTTCCAAGGTTCCTGGTCCAGCTTCTTTCTCCTTAGATTAAGTTCTGACTTACAGTATGCTCTGAGGAGGTAGGGGAGGAAACGGGAAGGGAAGGCCTCTTTTTAGGGAAGCAATCTCCTCTCCCCAGATGACTCACTGTAGTAGAAACTTCGGGGCAGAAGTCACACCACAGGCCTGGAGGCTGGGAGGACAGGAGATACTCTAGGAGCCACAATGACCTAAGAAAAGAATCTTCTCTTGGGAAGCCCAACAGAAGTCAGCCACATAATTCCCTTTCCAATCTGCCTCGATAAAACATAAAACATGAATGTAGACACCCCCACCATCGGATTCCTCTGTTAGTTGATCTCAGGAAACAGAAACAAATAAAATCAGACAGTAACTTTCTGTGGCATCTTCAGGGAAAGCTGTCCCTTCACCAGGATGCATCCCCACCCCGGCCAGCTGAGTGGCTCACTGCTCCCAAGAAGAGTAAGCACAGCAGGAGACCGCCAAAGGCCTGCAATGTGTTCAAGTCAATACCTGCTCACTATAGACTAGCTCACTGGCCACGCCAGAATCCTCCTAGCTTCCAAGGATGTACTGGCTCAGAACTGGAGCTGGGAGTGGTAGCTGCGGGGAAGATCAATTTCCCTGGGGTGATCCCAAGCCTAGGGCATGCATGGCTCCCCTGCTGGCACTTCTTGCTAGCAGGCTTGTCTAGGGACAGCAGCAATAGCAGCAGAAGTCCAGCATGTATCCAGATGAAGGCCTCACACCGCTCCCCTTCTGTGGGAGAAGCTCCACTGGGAACAGTTCATCTTCTTAACAGTTTGCCCACACAGCTCACCCTCAGTACTCCAGTGCCTCCAGCCGGGCAGCCCAGGCTCCAGGTGCCTCTAGAGGGCTTGGGAGCACACTGTGTATAAGAGTTGCCGAGACACTGGCATGAACTGGCAAGTCCAGATGACAGCGACCCAGCTGCTGTAACTGTCAGCAAATACCGGAAGCCTTAGCCTTGGCAACACCCCTGCCCTCTCCTTCTATTACTGTTCGTGGGCTCGACATAAGGGAGGAGATAAAGGCCAGAGTCCATCACCTACTCACATCCACAGAAAGATCGTGGTCACTCTTCTTGAGCAGTCTCAGCCAACTGACCGACCTATGAAACCAGGAACCAGGGGTGCCCCGGTCCTGTTTTGTGCAGCCAGCTCAGATTTCACTGGCTTTGGAACTTAGAAAAACTTGCTCAGGGTCCTGCCTGGGCCTCTCAAGAGCCAGTCACCAGAAAACGCTCCAAGTAGGATGATGAAAGACTTTCTTGTAATAAGCAACTGAAGATACTGGCAGAGCTATCTTTTCTATTCTGACCATTTCGAAAGACGACAAATGTTTCAAGAACCAAATTTCTCATCAAACTTCCAAATCTGCAGATGACAAATGGGATTTTCTCTCCATTTGGAAAGAACACAAATATCAAGACGATGAGAAGTATAAGGGTTTACGCACACTGGAAAGGAGAGTGCAGAGATGAAGAATATCCCACCAGGTCAAACGGTAGGCATTCATCCTACCTGCAAACCACACCAGACGCGTCCGTGGGAACCTGCATATACATGACATTCCTGGTTCTTGATATTAGCCTCAGTAGCCCCTAACCCCCAGGGGAACCTGTAGAGAACTCTTGGCCACTCGCTCCGGCTGGCAGTGGTGGGAGTAGGGGTGTGCTGCTCGCACCCCATGTTTCCAGTTTTAGGAGGCTGAAGCATCCCAGACAGCTGTGGACAATCAGGAAGATCCTACGAGCAGGACCGAGGAGACTAAGCAGCTTAGCAGCTTCCCTTGATGACTTGGCAGGAGGACAGACAGTTGGCTTCTGGAACCCACTGCCTCCAGGAAGGGTAGCAAAATAGGAAAAAAAGAAAGAAAACCACAGTATTCAAGTACATGTCAGTCAGGTTAGACAAGGAGTAACTTGGATCAACGCATCCACAGACTGACACACTTTGTACTGAACACCCTTCGGGGAAGGTGAATGTCGCTTGGGTCCTGCAGCGTGCGCCGACCGTGCAGAGCAGAGGCGGGGAGGGGAGGGCGCCAAGGGTGGGCCTTGGTCTATGTGGACAGTTTTAGGCACGTGATTTATAATACTTTGTGGACATCTAACAGGTTAACAAAATATATATTATATAAATATATCTCCTACTGTACACACTGCTTTCTTGTGCAGTCACTGTGATTTCATGCCCCAAACTCAACCAAAGGTGTGCCAGGCTGAACCATGATGCCTGGACTCCTCCCTCTCACATCCCAGACTTGGCATCTCCACACTGGAGGAATGAGGCCAAGAATACTGATTCTATAACGCCCATATCCTGCAAAAGTTGATGAATCACCAAAAGACAACATTTAGCCAATGCCGACTAGAGTGGGTACACGCAGCAAATGGACAGAAAGAAAAAAAACGGAGCAAATCCTCCATCTTTTAATGTGATAACTTTCCACACCCTCTCCACGTGGAGGCACAAAGGAGCTTGTCTGGGAAGTTTGTCTGGAGTGTGTAGAAAGGTCAGGCTGGACTACCAGTCACATCCTGAGACCACACTAAACCTTTTATAAGCCATTGTCTCTGACTGGTATTGTAGCCTGAAAAATAAAGCGAAGTGAGTCAAACTCCTGGTCTCTGCTTCCTGCCCTGCTGCTCCCCACACCCGTCTTCAAGGACCCCTCCCGCCACAGTCCAGCCTCCCGGTGAAGGACAGAGCTTCTGGAGTGACTGTAGCCTGAGCAGGGCCGGTCCAGAGGCAGCTGAGTCCTGTGCTGCTCTGGAGGAGGAAGGTTCCTGGGATCCTGCTGCCCGGGGACTCGGAATCCAGCCTCTCTGTGCAGATGCGTGGACTGTCCAACTTCACAAACTTCGGGTCCCTTCCCTTCCCCAGCTGCCCTTGTCTAGGGAGGCTCATGCTTTGCTTTAATGAGGTGAGGAGACCATAGAATACCCATGGCCTCAGGGCTGTGGCTGGCAATGGCTGATTAGGGTAGAAACTGGAAAGCGTCACCTTCTCAGCAGAAAAAAGCAGGACCCCACACAGCCTGGGGAGCGGCTGCCCACCCACTCCTTGAAGACCATAGCCCTGGCTCAGCCCCAAGGTGCTTCTGAGAGAGGAACGAGACACCTCAGTCATGGCACACTGGGTGATGTGCTTCCCCTCTAAGTTCTGTCTTGGTTTTACACAGTCATATGAAAGAAATAACCCCATTGCCCAAATGAAGCCTGGAGGAGATGTGTTACTATATACGTTTTTTTCTTAAAAAAAATTTTTTTTTTGGTGGTTTTCTTAAAAAAAGCCTTTGAGTTGCAGGTCAGGTGAGTTGTTTGTGGAAGTATCGGTAGTTCTGTTGGTACGAGAGAGACTTGTCTACAGGCAGGTAAACCCAAGTTTGCCAACAAAGGCAGGAACCCCAGCGGCCAGCTGCTGCTGCTGCACGAACGGTGAGGAGGAGGAGGACACCATGGACATGAGTGGAGGCTGGACGGGACAACGCGGTGGATACCTGCTGATGCTCTAACACGGGTGTTGGTGTCACCTCTGAGAAGAGCGAGGTGAGTGGGGACGCTATACAGGAGGGCTGTACAAATTGGGCACTGGATAGGTAGTTCCTTTGGTGGTCAAGGTGGCTCTACCTGTCCTTGAGCTCTCGTGTCACTCGCTTGGTGATCCGTCCACACATCAGGCCAATCAGGAACAATATACAGATGCTCCCACTGATCACAGAGAGAATGTAGTTCTTAGACGGAGATGTCATTACTTGCATGGCAAGATCAGAGAAGCCATCTGCTGGGGCCACCTAGAATGACACAAAGCAATGTGATTCTCTCAAAGAGCACTGGGCTAGTGGCAATGCTAGGTCTAACTTATCCCTCTCAGTTCCTAGTTTATGTCTCTTCTTTTGGAGAGGGAGGGCAGGAGATAAGAAAAATCAACACAGCCCGGTGCAGTGGCTCACATCTGTAATCCCAGCACTTTGGGAGGCTGAGGCAGGTGGATCATGAGGTCAGGAGTTCAAGAGCAGTTTGGCCAACATAGTGAAGCCCCATCTCTACTAAAAATACAAAAAATTAGCTGGGCATGGTGGTGCATGCCTGTAGTCCCAGCCACTCGGGAGATTGAGGCAGGAGAACTGCTTTATCCCGAGAGGTGGAAGTTGCAGTGAGCTGAGATCACATCACTGCACTCAGCTTGGGCAACAGAGTGAGACTTCTTCTCAAAAAAAAAAAAAAAAAAAGAAAAAGAAAAAGAAAAGAAAAAGAAAAATCAACACAAAGCTACAACTTTTTCCTGATCATAAAACTATACACATGTCTACCGCACAAAAGTAGAAATACAGAAAGATACAAAGTAGTGCAGTCACCCACAATTCTATCACAGTGATCTCCACTAACATCCCAACACTGAAGATGTGTTGGGCCCTGGACAAAGGGCTCCCCCTGCCCTCTCTCATTTAGCGCTCACACCAAGCCAAGCAGGCATTTTTCACCACTCCTATACTCTGGATGGAGAGTCACTGGCTCAGGGGTGAACATGGTTAAATGACTTCTATAAGGCCATGGGTTCTTCTGTCTTTTGATTTATGTTCTTTAACTTCGTTTGCCGCCTTTCTTTAAAAAACAAAGAGAACGCCGGGCGCGGTGGCTCACGCCTGTAATCCCAGCACTTTGGGAGGCCGAGGCGGGCGGATCACAAGCTCAAGAGATTGAGACCATCCTGGTCAACATGGTGAAAGCCCGTCTCTACTAAACTCCGTCTCAAAAACAACAACAACAACAACAAAAAAACAAAGAGAAAAGATGAGATTGTTTTGTATATTCTACATTTTGTAAATTCTATATTTTGGCTTTTTTTTTCAGTGAGTTGGGATCTTGCTCTGTTGCCCAGGTTGGCATACAGTGATGTGATCACAGCTCACTGCAGCGTCAAACTCATTGGGCTCAATGGATCCTCCTACCTCAGCCTACAAGTGCACTGCCATGCCTAGCTAATTAAAACATTTTTTTTCCTGGTCAGGAGGCCACAGCGGCAGATCACCTGAGGTCAGGAGTTCGAGACCAGCCTGGTCAACATGGCAAAATCCCCACCTCTACTAAAAATACAAAAATTAGCCAAGTGTAGTGACACACACCTGTAATCCCAGCTACTCGGGAGTCTGAGGTGGGAAAATCATTTGAACCTAGGAGGTGGAGGTTTCAGTGAGCTGAGATTGCACCACTGTACTCCAGCCCAGGCAACAAGAGTGAAATTCCATCTCGAAAAAAAAAAAAAAATTCTTTAGAGATGTAGTCTCCCTATGTTGCCCAAGCTGGTCTCAAACTCCTGGGCTCAAGCGATCCTCCTGCCTCAGTCTCCCAAGGCGCTGGGATAAGAGGTGTGAGCCACCATACCCGGCCTGTATTTTGACTTTTCTCACTTATCATTATATCATAAGCATTTCCCACAACAAAAACAATGTCCCGGCCGAGACCCGCCTAGACAACAAACAAGATCTCGTCTCCACAAAAAATTTAAAAAGCAGCTGAGTGTGGTGGCATGGCCTGTGGTCCCAGCTACTCAAAAAGGATCATTTGACCCCAGGATTTCGAGGCTGCAGTGAGCCATGTTCATGCCACTACACCATAAACATAACTTATATTGACAGAATACAGTTAATTGCCCTCTACTTGTGGACATTTATACTTTAACCTCAGCTAGTCTTCACCCTCAGTTTTCCACTGCTTTCCCCAGCAGACCTCAATGGTAGCCCACTATGGCAGAATCAGGATCGAAAGGGTCCCCAGGTGCACATGACCCTATTCTTTTGCATCCAATCCCGGCTGCTGAGATGGTTTGGCCCAGAGGCATCTGGGCTGTTTCTATGCTCATATCATATACACAGACAAGAGTGGGGAAGAGTGAGATGAATGAGATTTGAGCTCCAATAGCTGCCAACACAAAACAAGCTGTGAGTTACTCTGAGTCACTCTGAAGCAGTAACACGCAGCTCAAAGGAGTGGACATAATGAGGGAGAATGAACTAACACAGCATCTCCTGCTGCTGCTTCCCTGAGCCATGGGCTTCAAAGGCGGCTTTCTTCCCTTGGGAGAAGGGTGAGGAGAGTGCTGACTACTGTAATATACAGGAGCCCTCCCCTGTAGCTTCCTGCTGTCTAGCTATGAAGACTTTCTCTGATTGTTCCTCTTGCCTTGTTACCCTTGACTTGGAAGTACATGGGTGATAAAAGAAATGGCCAGGAAGTAGGGGCAGTCCTGGAGTTACTCTTTTGATCTTAGGTCACTGCAAATGTCTATCCCAATGTTAGCTGATACAAAAGCATGGATCTAAAAACCTGAGACTTTGGGCAAGTCATAACCTCTGAAGTCAGTTTCCTTCACCATCAACTGAGGAAACAGGCATTCTACTTACCTCACAGAGTTTCAAGTTTCAAATGAGATAAAATATCCACCAAAGTGTTACATAAACTACAAAGCAATGTATACACAAGAAGAACTGTTACTCTTCTCACTGAGGCTGGACCTCTATAGGAAAAACTTCCCCTAGCCCAAAAGCCTGGGTATCATACACATTCACGAGTATTCTACAGTCTCTTCATCCCCTTCTCCATGTTCCAGACCAGATGAGTACTGGCCTCACATACATTTTTTTCTCCTAAAGACTGTGTAAAATGATAAAAAAAAGCTTCCAGACAGGCGAGGCTGGATTTCTTTCTTTTGCATGGGTGTGACATCTCTTTTCTCTTTGGGTGACTCAGTTTTCAGTTATGAACCGTGGGCGAAGCGAGAAACGGGTGGCCCTGGCAAAGCCTTGCAGACAGCCCGACCTACAGGGAGACGGTTCCAGGCTCATGGACAGCCAAGGAATTTTAAAAACACACCGACCACACTTTCAAACACACTTACTGATAGTCTCATGATACGGATAAGGCCAGTACAATATCTAAAAGAGACTGGACAACCACAGTGAAAAGAGCAGCATGGCCTTTGTTCAAGAATAACATGAAAGTTGGTGAAGTGTTCCATATATTTTTATTTAAAAAAAAAAAAAAAAAAAGGAGATTTTTTTTGGTCCTTACCTTTGCTGCATAACTCCACATTTCAATCCGGTCATTGAGGCGTTTTTTGCACTCAGGTTGTAGCCTCACCCGCTTATCCTCCAGTGCTTCCATGAGACAGGACATTTCTGTGGGAGGAAACAAGTAATAGGAAGGACCTGAAACTGCAGAATACAGAAATTCCTGTAAAGTTGGGGAAAAGAGTCCACAACCACCAGATTCAGATCTGTAGGTTCAACAAAGTTAAAGACATACTAGGAAACTTGACCCAGGATCCAACAATGGCAAGAAATGACATGTAACCTCCAGGGTTGGCATCCAAAGTCTCTCTTCAAACCTCCTTATTTTTAAGAACCAGATGTGGTGGCAAACACCTGTAATCCAAGATACTCGGAAGGCTGAGGCAGGAGGGTCTCTTGAGCCCAGGAGTTTGAGACTACAATATAGTAAGACCTTGTCTCAAAAAATTAAAACAACAGGCTGGGTGCAGTGGCTCATGGTTGTAATCCCAGCACTTTGGGAGGCAGAGGTGGATAGATCACTTGTGGACAGGAGTTTGACACTACCCTGGCCAACATGGCAAAACCCTGTCTCTACTTAAAAATATAAAAATTAGCTAGGCATAGTGGCGGGTGCCTGCAGTCTCAGCTACTCAGGAGGGTAAGATAGGAAAAATCACTTGAACCCAGCAGGTGGAGGTTGCAGTGAGCTGAGATCATGCCACCACACTCCAGCCTGGGCAACAGAGAGACTGTCTCAAAAAAATAAATAAATAAAATAAATAAATAAAACAAAACCAAATAACTTCTCTTAGTTTTATTTGGGCATATGTGGCTCGGAAAGAACTTTCACACCTGCTTTGGCTTCCTCCTCAGAGAACCTATCTACTGAGTCCACTGTGGCCACTGGGGAAGTGTATGAAGCAGTTTTTGGTTTGGGTATAGAGAAAAGGATCATGATGATGATTTAACTCCTGCTTCCCTGATAAATACCTCATCTCTCCCTTCTCATCAAATCTTGAGCTCTGGTCATGACTAGGTCAGTTCAAACCTGCAGGCTTATTCCTAATTTCATGATGCCACAAACGCCTAGTTTTGGCATCACTCAGGTTCCCTGGGAATGCTTTCTGTGACTGGGTTATAGCTACACACCACAGTAGCTGCAACTGATGTCTAAGAGGGAGTCTTTGCTCTTCCCAGGAGAGTTCAGACAGGGTAAGAGTGAACACAGAGACTTACGACGCCCACGGCCAGGGGTGATGGCTGCGCAGTGGTGTTTAATGTCCAGGGCACAAGCTGTATGAAGAACCGGGTCAACGAAGATGTCTGCTTTGCTTTCCTTCAGCATGTTTAACACTTCCTGGAAAGGGAGGGTCATTGCAGACAGAGCTTTTGTAGGGGAAATGCATCAGATCTATTGTTTGTAAATCAAATCAACAAGTCAAGCAGGGAAAGTTGAGGGCTAACAACAGAGACCACTTTGGGACAGGTGGCAAGGTGATGATGATGTA